TGCTCCAGAGACTAGAACATGAACCAATGGATTCAAATTACAAGAAAAATTATTCCACTTAAACATTAGGGATAACTTTTTAACTATTAGAATGGTTCAACCGTGGAATCGATTGCCTCAGAAGGTGGGTGACTCTCCATCTTTGGAGGCCTTTAAACAGAGTTTGGGTGAGCATATTTCAGGAATGCTTTACTTTTGTATTCCTGCATGGCAGGAGTGGGTCTAGATGGCCCTTGTGGTCCCTTCCATCTCTAAGATTCTACCATTTTATGAATTCAGACCCCACCAAAGACAGTTTCCCACCCCTGTTCTAGACCCCACCTGGCCAAGAAAAAGCACAATAACAACATGTGGCTTCATGTACCTCCTCCAGTCTGTACTTGGAACTTCCCAACTCCAATATCTATATTCTCTCTCCTTCTTACAAGAAAACTTTGTGTAAGATGACATATACCTTGGATCATCACTGAACATATTTCCAGAAAAGGAGGTAGGGCAGCTCTAAACACAATAAAAATTGAAGCCAATATACAAAATGCAAAAGAAAGATGGAGAAAATGGATCAGAAAATTGTACTCACCAGTGTTAAATGGGACTGCTCAGCAACTGCATCAGTTACACTGCAAGACCTTAACCTTGCAGAAGGATCTCTTTGCTGCAAGAAGGAAAACACAGTGAATCATTAACTATACATCATGTTTTGAATTCTCCCCCAAAACAAAATAAATTAGAATTATTTTTCATATTGTATTTGGCCTTCTTCCACCTCCCGCAGTTCAGTGACTGAAAACTGAAATCTTCGCTACAGTGTTTTGCTGATCTAATTTAAAGAAAATGGTTTATAAAACCTGCTTTAAACATCAAAAATAGGTGGGGGATATTCTTGATCCTTCATACAGCAGTGGTGAAGGAGAAATGGTAAAAAATAATAGTATTTGATGGGATATTTTTTCAGGTTTTTTTTTTAAACATTAAAATCACTTGCCACTCAGCCTCAGCAATGTGGTGAAATAATACTAATACCATGCTGAATTAATACTGACCACATTTTTGTACTGAAAAAATAGATATAAATGTGATAAATGAAAGGACTGTGCTGCAGGGTTGTAATAATTACTGAACACTGATATTCAGTGCACTTCAAGATGCATTACAAAGCTCAAGAATTGCTGTGAACACTGTAAAGTCCTATATAAAATACTAAATTTCTAGGCTTGTATCCAGCAGTTTCAGGCTGCATCTGCACTGCAGAATTAATGCAGTTTGACACCGCTTTAACTACCATAGCTCAATGCTATGGAATCCTAGGATTTGTAATTTTGTAAGATATTTAGCCTTCTCTGTCAGAGAGCTCTGGTGCCACAACAAACTACAAATCCGAGATTCCATAGGATGGAACCATGACGGTTAAAATGGTGTCAAACTGCATTAAATCTGCAGTGTGGTAGCAGCCTTAATCTGCCTGTGCAACAGACAACTGCTGGGGATCAAATTCCTCCTCTGTCTTTATGCTCTCAGCTCCCAAATCTGCTTCAGAAGATTGTGGAGCGAGGGGTGATGATGAAGGAAGGTCAAGGGAAACTCAAGTTGTAGAAGCAACATGCAATGCTGCATGCATCCACGGTTCTTTCTTTGAATAGAATTTCAAACATTGGAAGCATGGGGCCTCACAGAAAGACAAATTCATAAATTATTTCTTAACTGTGGTGAAAAGGATAACAACCTCACTTTTCTTACGCTTATTGGTTCTATTTGGTAGTATGCAATTAAGAACAAAACTAGCTCTCTGGAATTGTATTAAATTATTATTTATGAGTTTAAGAGCTTTATTTCTGAGCACAATGTCTTCTGAGCTGGTGGTATACAAATAAATGGACTGACGCATAAACAACAGAGGCATCAATATTGCAATAGGTTTTCTGCTAATGCACTCATGCCATAAATACATTCAGCCTCTCCTCGGCATTTTTCTGTCTTTCTCTCTCTCCCTTTTTCATATGTTCTTTCACCCAACAAGACTGCATCACATTAAGTTGCCCTATCCCAAATCAGACTAGTGGTCAATTTCACTCATTATTGCCTGCACTGACTCCAAGGCAGAGAATGAGGCAGGAATCTTTCCCATTTCTGCCTGGAGATGCTGGAGAACATCCCCCCTCAAGCTAATGCACTTGTTCTTGTTCACAAGTAGGCTTTAATCCCAAATGAGTCTGCTGTTATGTTTTCCTCTGTGTGTGTGGGTTTTTTCCCCCCCTTTCAAAATCTCTTGGCAAGTTCAGAAAAAGAAAAAGGATTTTGTGATAGATCTGTCTCTGCAACATTTCTCTGGTAGTTTTGATGTATCCTTTTGCAAGATTGGCTGATTCTGCAGAGCAATGTTTTCCAATCTTGGGTTCCAAGATGTTACTGGACTACAACTCCCATCACTTTGACTACCAGCCAAATGGTGATGGTGGTTTTTGTAGTCCAAGGTTGGAAAACACTGCTTTGTAGTCTTCATGCTGTCAAATGATCTGCCAGGAGAGATTCAACAGCAGAATGTGCTGTCTGAATTTAAAACAGTATTAAAGACCTATCTCTTCTGGAACTATGAATTTTAAATTGGTATATTGTGAATTTGGACAATTTTAATATGTCTTAAGATTTATGAGTTTTAACTTAATATGTTAAAATGGTTTTATGTGTTTTAATCTATGTTGTAGTCTGCCTCGAGTCTTAGGAGCGACAGCGAGGGTGGGGGAAATAAACAAATTATTATTATTATTATTATTATTATTATTATTATTATTATTATTATTATATGCTGGTGATCTACTGTAGCTTTTACTGTTATGGATATCGGTAGTGGGAGAAAGGAGAATCCTATATTCTTGGGCTCTCAAATACATGGCTGCCTCATCTGGCAGGAGGTGGAAAAGAACAGGGAAATAAATTTTGTAAGAAGCTCATAGGTAGCAGGAATTAATAATTTAATTGGCATTCTTAAATGTTGTGACATCAAGGTAGCTTTTGGGAGCTATGCAAGGCTTATCCTTTTGGCAAAGTACACAATCTATTCAGCTCACTGACTAAAACTGAGATGATTATCTTTTATCTTCTCTGACTCCCAGTTCTGGGAAAAGAGCGGGATACAAATAAATATAATAATTTTGTTCTAAGAAAATATTATTCATCTTGAACAAGGACACCTCAAGAGACCTCTTTCAAGAGGTTCTTTGTCCAATTCACTGATCTAGCCAATCATATCCACACAGTAAGACTCCATTTCTTAGTGGCAGAGGACATACCTTACATGTGTCTAAACACATTTTACAATATTAGGCTACTGGAACCCTATTTTTTCCCAGACAGTGCTAAGTATACTTCCACAATAGTAAACCCAGCTCAGATTTCCCTGTGATTTTCTTACAATAGGCTCAGGGCAATAATTGTTAAGTTTTATAAACCTCTTAAATAAAGGTTAATTGATACAAGCCTGGTGAAAACAATCTCTTTTTTAAAAAAGCTATTCTAGTTGAGACAAATACTTGTGTAATAAATATTTCATGTCAATCTGTATTCTCTTCCCAGCATCAGCATTTCTACTGTTTTTTGGAACAGACATTTGACTTGCAGCCAATTGCATATCAAATAAATCCATTCATGCAATAATTCAGTCCAGAATGTTAAATAATTTCTAGATACAGAAAGTTCAACAAAATTCAGACTATACAAATCTTTTCTTTCCTCAGCTGTGTTCCCTTTTTTAAAAATTGGCATATTCAGAGGGGTATGATGACTAAACTGAGACTATCATATCTTGGACATAACGTGACATGAGATATCTCATGAAAAAAATCCAACACTGCTTAGTAAATTCAAAGGCAGTAGGAAAAATGGAAGACAACAGTACAGTAGTATTGATCAGTCAAGGAAGCAATGGCTCTGAATTGACAAGACCAGAGCAGGGCTGTCAATGACTGAA